GGGAGGAGGACGGCAGAGGGAGGACGGCAGAGGGAGGAGGACCGCAGAGGGGAGGATACCAGAGGGAGGAGGACGGCAGAGGGGAGAAAAGCAAAGGAGGGCAGAGCAGAGGGAGGACAGCAGAGGGGATGGGGAGAGGAGAGGAGGAGGATGGCAGAAGACAGCAGAGGAGAGGAGCAGAGGAGAGGACAGTAGAAGTGGGGAGAGCAGAGGGGAGGACAAGAGAGGGAGGATAGCAGAGGGGATGGTAGGGAGTCAGGAGAGATGGCACGCCTCCTCCAGGAAGCCTTCCCAGACTTGCTGTCACCATGTGGTCCTCCCACATTGCTGGGGCTATGAACTTGGGCAAGGGTCCATTTCCATCTCTGGGTTCTTGGCACATCCATCAGCACGCAAAGATGCATGTGTCACGGTGGGCAACCCAGGCAGTGGGGGCACTGGTCACCTGGCCTGGGAGGGCAGAGAGCTAACCTGGAGGAGGGGCCACCCGTATAGCCCCCAGGGGCCCATGAGGGCTTTGCTTACTTTTGGTTCCAAGTGGTAGGGTGGGGGGATACCTAGAAAGCTCCCCAGTTGACTGGGAAGGCGGATGCCAGGGGTGGGTTGATGAAGAGACAGGACCACCCCCCCCCCACCACCTCAGGAACCTGCTCCCTCTCACCAGGCCCCTCATACACACTCCTTGCCATGGAGGCTCCCAGAACACCAGTGACCTGCGGTGCTGTGCCAGCATCCGCCCGGCACAGCTGGGACCGCCCAGCGCAGCTGGGACCACCCACCGGCCCTCACTCCCCTATCCCAGAACAACTGGACACACAGAAAGCACACAGCCAGGTTAGGAACCAGGCGTCTCTTTATTTTTTGGAAAGTTCGTCGATGGGTTAACAAAATCACACCTGCCAGTTTGGGTGACACCTCTGGCCACCAAGCACTGGGCCCCAGGAAGAGACCACCCTGAGCCATGGCCCTGCAGGCAAGCAAGGGACAGCCGCCCTGACTCAGCCCCGTAACAGAACAGAAAGACCAACTGAAATCACGGCTTCCCTCCAAGCTCTGAAAGGTAGCAGTCTGGGCTATAAAACTCTAGAAGCATTGCGTAAGAAGTGTTAAGTCTACATCTTGTAAAAACTCAATAAATTATATATATAGATATATATAAACTTGTAACATCTAATAACATCTGAACCTGCACACAGGGCCGGCCCCTCCCTGGAAACCAGCTCCCCGCCTGGGACACGCAGCAATTAGAGGAATTTGTGTGAAAAATACCAGCTTGCTTTGAAGTCCAAAAAATAAATCTCCTAAAAAAAAATCCTATAGAAATCTAATTCTCCTGCAAAAGGAGGACAAAGGAAATAAAATATCCTTACCAGCATCCCCTCCAACTATGAGCCACCTTCTAGGCTCAGAGGGGATCCTCCAGCCCCTTGGCAGGCTGGACGCACACTCTTGCCGTCCCTCTGTAGGCGGGATAAGCCTTCTTGGCTGTTAATAAGTTAAAAATTAAACCTCTCCGCCATGTGGCTGGCTAAATGCTACAAGTGTTGGGGTGCAGGAACAAGGGTGCCAGGGGCCCATAAATAGCTTTACAAATACACAGGTCCAGGTTCAATTGTTGAAACTGCAGTGCCAGAAAAGGCCCTGCTCCTCTGCTTGCATGTGTGAGACCCCTGAGGCCTCCCCCACAGCCCGGGGCCATGCCTGCCTCCTGCGACCCCAGGGCCAAGGGCCTCCATTGTACTAGGCTGCTCTTCCATATACTTTATATATATGTATGTATATATATCATATACACAGCATCTATTTATAGAAATGTACACTAGTTTCTGGAATAAACCTTTTGGATAAAAGGTAAAGGCTCCCACCTTCAGGTACCCGTAATTTCAGTCTTTGAGGGGCAGGGTGGGAACGAGGAAAGCCTGGAGGTGGGGGGCAGAGCCACTAACACCCCCAGGCACAAGGTGCTCGACACGTGGGGCTTCCCTGCAGGCTCAGCTTTGGGTGTGGGAGGGCCAGAAGCCCACCCTGTGATGTCCCACAGTGCAGGGGCAGAGGCCAGGGTCACGTCAGGCCCAGCTCCCTGCCCCACGGGGGTCCCACAGGGTGGGCCCACTTACATTCCGCACTGGGTGACCCCAGAACAAAGGCCCCTCGGTGCTTCGGCACCAGTCAGGAGGCCGTTGCACAGCAGCGGGGACACCCAGGGGACCTCTGCAGCCAGAGGCCACAAGATGCGCGCGCATGCACAAAGACCAAAGCTCTGTGTGGCCGTCTGTCCCACCGGACTGAGTCTCGTGCCAGGGAGTGGCTGTGCAACAGCAGCAGGGTGGGCTGCTAGGGACCCCTCACATTGTTGGGGACAGGTGGCCCTTCACGTCCGCGGGCCCCCACTACTGGGTGGGGCCGGGGGCAGCAGGTCATGGGTGAACACGGAGTCGTCCCCTGAGGAGCTGGAGCTGGGGGTGTCCTGGCCGCCGGGGGAGTACTGCTCGAAGGGCGCCGACAGGTCCAGGTACTCCTGCCGCGGAAGGCACGGTGAGTGCTGTCGCACAAAGCGCCTCTTCCCACAGCCACCGCTGTGCCCAGGCTGCGCCCCAGAGGACCGCCCCACACCTCAGCATTCTGGGGGCAGGGTGGCCAGGGTGGGGCGGGGGGTAGGGGAGCGGCAACAGCCCAGGGCCGGCACTCACGTCGGTGGATGTCACAGTGAGGATGCGGTCCAGGTCCTCCACCAGCTGCTTGAAGGTGGGCCTCTGCGAGGGCGCCGCGTGCCAGCACTCCCGCATGATCATGTACCTGCGGGCAGGGCGCTCAGGCACGGCCCCCATCTCATTCAGGCATAGCCTCAGGCTGCCAGTCCCTCCCCCGCCAGCCCCATAAGGCCCCCATGTCCACCACACCCCGGAGGACCCAGGGGAGGACCGGGGTGCCGCTTACAGGTCGTGCGTGCAGTTGGCGGGCTTGTCCATGCGGTGGCCCTCCTTCAGCAGCTTGAAGAGTTCCTCCACAGGGATGCCGGGGTACGGGGAGCCCCCCAGTGTGAAGATCTCCCAGAGCAGGACCCCAAAGGACCAGCTGTTGGGAGACACAAGGTCAGACTGTCCTGAGACCTCCCCAAGACAGACACCTGGGCGGGCACCAGGGGAACCGGCCAGGGCTGCTGCCCCCGGAGGGGTAGAGACCAGGCCCAAGAGCCCCAGGGCACACGCGTGGGGCTGCAGCTGGGTCCCAGCTCTGCCCAGTTCCCGCCTCCACTCGAGACCGGGGTCTGTAGGACACATACACGTCACTCTGGTGGGTGTAGACGCGGTCAAATAAGGCCTCAGGCGCCATCCACTTCACAGGCAGCCGGCCCTGGCAGGGGTGGGAAGGCAGTGTTGGCACCGGGCGCCCCAGGCATGCCCGCCCCCACCCCGCGGGCCGGGCTCACGTTGGTGGTCTTCTTGTAGTAGTCGAGGTTGTGCACATCTCGGGCCAGCCCGAAGTCGGCGATCTTCATCACGTTGTCCTCGGTCACCAACACATTGCGGGCGGCCAGGTCCCTGTGGATGCACTGGGAAGGGGTGGGGGCAGGGCTGAAGCCTTGACGCCTCTCCCATTGCTCCCAGAATGGCAGGGCCGTCCGTGCCCAGCCCACTCCACCCACACCTGCTGCCCTGCTCACCTTCTGGGAGGCCAGGTACTCCATGCCCCGGGCCACCTGGTAGGCACAGGACACCAGGTCCTTGAAGGTGAGCTGCTCCTCGGGCGGCTTGCAGGTGTCGAAGGAGTAGTCCAGGCCGGGGGGCCGCCGCGCCCGCAGGAACTCCCGCAGGTTGCCCTTGGCGGCATACTCCACCAGCACGTAGAGGGGCCCTGGGGGCACGGGCTCCTCAGAGACGCTGCCAGGCCCAGGAGGGCCGCCCGCCTGGACCGCCGCCCCAGCACACCTACCGCCCTGCGTGCAGGCGCCCAGCAGGTTGATGATGTTCTTGTGCTTCCCGATCATCTTCATCATCTCCATCTCCGACACCAGGTCCGACAGGTCCTTGTCCGTGGCATCGTCTGGGCAAGGAGAGAAGGTCTGTGTCAGGCGGTGGTGCCCCCAGCCCTGCCCTGCACCCCCGGCCGCCCTCTCACCTTTCAGCATCTTCACAGCTACAGTGACGGGTTTAGCGGCCCGGTCCTTGTCGATGCCGATGGCCTCCGCCATGACCACCTGGCCAAAGCAGCCCTCCCCGAGAGGCTTGCCCAGGGTCAGCCTGGCAGCAGAGGCAGAGAGACCCATGAGCATACAAGCTCGCCCACTGGCAGCCTGCCACAGTCCCCACCCCAGCCTGGCCCAGCCCTTAAGGCCTACAGCCTCCACCACCAGGAAGCCCTCCATGCTCATCCTGCAGCCTGCTCACGAGGATGAAGACTGTCACCCACCAGCCTCTCGCCCCTGCTGCCTCTCCAGACAGGGCATCTTGAGGGGCGGTCCCTGCCAGGAACCCCTCCCAGGAGCATCTCCAAAGAGAAGAACATCTCCAACATCTTCCACGTCCTTGATGCCCCTGAACCCAGCCGGTCCCTGCCTGCTGTTTCACCCCCACCACAGAGCCCCTACAGCCCATGCTGGCCCTCAGCACCACTGACCGGGCCCTGGACAGCTCCCATTTGGGGTCGGCGGGCAGCTCAAGCTCCGATACGTTGGCCAGCGCCGGGCCCTCCCCGGAGGACAGCCTTGCAATTCGCACCAGCGGCGTGTTGGAGCTCATGGACGCGTTGGACTCCAGGGACACCTGCTTGGGTCGGCAGGGGCAGGTTGGCGCCGCGTGGAGGACAGGGTGTGGGGGTGCAGCCAGGGGTTGCTGTGGGCTGGAAGGGGGGCGCTCTGACTTCCACCAGCGTTGAATGAAGACTATTAGAACACTTTGTGCCTCAGAGTACCCTGGGCTCTACATGGTGACCAGAGACAAGGGGAAGTGAGCCTGCCTGGCTGCAGAGGGTGCTGCACAGCCCGGGACCAGCAGAGGCTGAGGGGGCTCCGGAGGCCGGGCGGGCAGGCAGCTCGGAACCTGGTATCTACTTTCTGTTACCTGTCGCTTGAGCGGGAAGCGGGAGATCTTGTGGACGGTGGGGGAGCCCAGGCCTTTCTTGGGGGGGCTGCGCAGGCGGCAAAGCGTCACGGCCGCCACCACCAAGATGAACAGGAAGAAGCCCACCCCATAGCTGAGGATGCCTGCGTACACACTGCCCGCCTCGTCAGCCTCCGCCAGCTCCTCCTCGGCTGCAAAGACACAGGCGTTGAGGCCTGGCCGGGCCCCCCCCAGGCCCCCTGGGTGCCCCTGGCCCAGAGCCGCAGGCACCACTGGGAGCGGGAGGGGGCTCAGAACCTCAGCATCCCCCTTGTCTGGGGGGATCTTGTGGTCAGAAACACCGATGAGTACAGAGGGCCAGACCCTGGAGAGGAGGCGCCCAGCAGAGCCAGCCAGCCCCACACCGCCACCAGGCACCCGGGAGACACCAGAGCCACAGGAGGGGCCTTTGGGGACCCGGATGGGAAGGGGGCTCAAGGGGGCTGTGGGGCCCCTCTAGGACCAGGTCTGGGACTGGTTGGGCCGACTTTGTCCTCACACCGGGCACAGGGCCCAGTGTGAGGGATCGAGGAGTGGGGCACCCATCAGCCACAGGGTTCCCTTCTGTCCTGGAGGCTCTGGCGTGTCCCAAGCCAGCGTCCCCGACAGTGCAGAGCAGCAGCTGCAGAAGCTGGTACCTGGCAGCACCACCAGCCACGCAGAGTGATGGGAAAAGCCAATAGAATTGCCCGCCAGGCAGGTGTACTCCCCAGCGTCTTCAAAGGTGACGTTGTGCAAGGACAGAACCTCTAGCTCCTTGTCGGTGGTGTTAGCCCCCGCCGTCTACAAAGAGAGAGCAGAGCGATAGGCGAGCGCCAGCACCGGCTTGCAGGCACGCGAAGTCCACACGGCAGGATCCAGCCGCTGCAAGGAAAACGCCGCCACCACCAACTCCTCGACCGCCAGGTTGGCCGCCACCGTGCGGCCCTCCGCCTGGTCCACCGGCACCGAGCCCGAAGCCAGGCCCCTCCACCGGCGAGTCCTCTGTCCCAGTGAGCGGCAGGCGGGCAGGCAGGCAGCATGCGGGTGAGCGCAGAGCCGGGCGGGTGCAGGTGGAGGACAGACACACGGACACGTGGGCTGCAGAAGCGAGTGGGCAGCAGCCGGTGGGAGAGGCGGAAGGGGACACTCACAGACGGCACTGGGCTGGGCCGGGTGGGCACCAGGCACCTGGGGAGGGGGAGCGTGGACGTGCGGGAAAGGTCGGCACAGGCCACAGGGCTGGAAGCAGGTCACCGAAGCGGAAGGTGACCATGGAGGCCAGAGCTGCCAGCCTCGCTGAGGTGGCCGTGAGCCAGCACGAGCCGGGGTCGGGAGCGAGCAGGGCCGGGCGTGCGGGGTGTGCGGGGCGCGCGGCCAGGGCCATGGAGCTGGAGCTCTTGTACCGGCCGGCATGGGACAGAGTCGTTACCTGCTCGGGGCCCGCGAACGCTCAGCCAAAAGGCCTTCTCGGCCACGCCTATGAAATTGGTGGCTCGACAGAGGTACTCGCCCCCGTCCCGCTCCGACACATTGGCCAGGCGGAGGCGCGCGTCGGCCTCCACACTCTCACTGATCCACGACTGCGGGGACAAGAGACCCCGCTCAGGCACGCCCCTGAGGCAGCCCCGCCGGGCACGAGGCAGGAGGTGGGAGACCCCCGAGGCAGATGGAGGCTGGGCTGCGCAGGCCCGGACAGCTGCCTGGAGGAGGCATGGAGGCACTTCCCGGTGGCTGTGGTTTCACAGGACGTACGTCTCTGCCTCCATCCTAAGGACCCAGCCCAGACCCTCAGCCGTGGCCACTGGCCTGCCCTCCCCCGCGGTCTTGCAGAACCTGTACCCTGGACAGGGCCCAAGGCGGTCTCTCCAAGCAAGGTCTGAACTCCACCCTTGCCCCACGCCCACTCCGGGCCCCATCAGACCTTCTCCTCTCTGAACAGGTATTTCTCTCCAGGCGGGATCTGGACTCCACCCTTGCCCCGCACCGGCTCCCTGCCCCCATCAGACCCCCTCCTCTCTGAACAGAGGTTTTTCTCTCTGGGCTTTGAGTGTCGCAATGTACCAACTCACTGGCCCCCACCCGGCAGCCGTGGGAACAAAGCTAAGGGCTTTGGGAGGCGGGCAGTGAGCCTGGTCTCACTGCACACAGCTGACGACAGCCAATCAGCCAGCTTGGGGCTCGGCCACCGCCTCTGAGGTCCAGAGGAGCCTGGAGGGCTTGGCCACTGCCCTGTCCAGGGCCGCCATCGCTGCCTGAGCTTTGCCCACCCAAGAGGCCCCTGCGGGCGCCTCCATGTCAGGGGCTCCAGCGGCCCTGGGCCGTCCACAGAAACGTCCCGCCGCAGCTGCCTGTGGCCCCAAGGTGTGAGGTAGCTGAGACTTGGCCCCACAAGCACCCCCACAGCTTCTTCCCCTGAAGCTCCCACCCCGAGGCCCAAATCCTCATGCAGCCCCAGCCTGGGAGCCCCAGCAGCGGCCCACCTTGAGCACGGTGACGTAGGGTGTGCCGTCGGGGCCCACCTTGCTGCCGTTCACCTCCACATGCTTGAGCCACTGGATGTGGGGCTGTGCGTCGCTGTACACCTTGCAGTGGAACTCCACGTCGCTGCCCAGCACCGCCGTCTGGTTGGCCGGCAGCCCCGCCTGCAGGATGGGCCGGTGCGGGGAGCGCTCTGTGGGGGCAGATGGCGCTCAGGGGCCGCCCCCTCCGGGGCTGCCAGCCCTGCCCCCATGCGGCCCCACGCCCTCACCCAGCACGTCCAGCGTGTACGTCTGCCGGATGCTGCCGAACTTGTTCTCCACCACGCAGGTGTAGTTGCCGCGGTCCGAAGGCACCACGCTCTCCATGACCAGGCTCCACTGCTGGTGCCGCAGCTGCAGCGAGTCACCGGTGAGCGGGCCACAGGTGAGCAGAGGGAACCCACGTGCCCCCCCAGGCCCAGAGCCACCCCGGCACCCACCTTGATGCCTCCAATGCGATGCTCGCCGCGGAACTCCTTGCCGTTCTTCAGCCAGGAGATGGAGGGAGTGGGGTTGCCGGCGGCCGGGCAGCGGAAGCGGACGGTGTTGGCAGCCGGCACGGCCAGCAGCTTCTTGTCCATCCGCTCCGGCCGAGTCCAGTAAGGGGCCCCTGCTGGCCGAGGTGCCCGTGAAGGCCATAACCCAAGTGGGAGCAGAGCCCCCTCTGACCAATACCGTTCCCAAAGCTGCCCCTACCCACCCCAGCCTCAGTTTCCCCTCCTTTGTAGGGAAGAGGATGGGATGAGGCTCCCAGGAGTGTCCATACCATGTCCCCACCCTGGGGCTTTCTCAGAGCTGGGCCATGTGTCCCCTCCCTCCCCTCCAGGGTGCTCTCCCTGGGCTTGTGAAGCCGCGGGGCACAGGGCGTGGTCCAGGGAGCCCACCCGCCCAGAGAGGCGTGCCAGGGGCCAGGCCTGCCTGGCTTGTCTCATGGATAAGCCAGGACCTCAGAGCAGTTCACCAGGAAAGGAGTCCCAGTCCCCTGAAAAACCAGGAGCCCTGGAGGCAGCTGGGCAGCGTGGGCCCACGGGAATCAGAGACCCCAGGCCACCCTCTGCGGCGCTCCAGGTCTGGCGGGCACCCAGAGATGGTGACACTCTGGAGACCCTGCCTCCTCCCACCTCGGCATACGGGGCTCCCACCACCCCTCCCTCACAGCCCAACTGGTTTATCTCCTTCCTTGAGGCTGGGGCTGGGGCTGCCTTCCTGCAGGGACTCCAGGCAAGGCTGGGCTGGCATCCTCCAGGAGGGAAGCAGCCCTCTCCTTGGTGACCTCACTGCCACCCCACTTCAGGGACACGCCCATCAGGAGCACTGCAAGATGCAGCGTGGACAAAGGCTGGGAGGAGGCAGCCCCGTGGTGCTGAGCTCCCTCCCAGGCCTCCTTGAGACCCCGGGGGGAGTTACCCTAGCTCAGTCTCTCATGGACTCAGCCTCCCCTCCTCACCCGCTCACCCACTGGCCCAGGGATCCAGCCCACACACCACCAGTCCTGTCGTAACTGCCCCCACATCGTGCCACGACACTCACTTCAAGCTTCTTCCCAAACCAGAAGGCCCCCTCCCCGCCCTCCAAGTGGGCAAAGTTCCCCTTCACTATTCCAGGCCGGAACACCGGTCAGCGTCCCTGACTGCGTTCCCACAGCCGCAGGCCACCCTCCCGCCACTGGTTGTGGCCAGGTGCCCCTTGTGCCCTCACCCTGGGCCCATCCACCCCACGGCAGCCACCTGAGTGCCCTGCCCTGCTGCGCCCACCTTACCCACAGCCAGCACCAGAGCCCCACAGGCCAGCCCTGGCCTCCTCCAGCTCCTGGAACCCCCAGGGCCCTGTGCCTCAGTCTCCCTATCTGCAACACAGGTGTCCCTTCACACCCCAGCCCTGCCACCAGGGAGCCAGAGCCAGGCGACCAGAGCCATCTCAGTGGCCCAGCCCCTCCTGCATCCTGAGGGGACCTGACCTTCGGGGTGACCCCAGGAACCTCGGTCCCTCAGCTGCTTGTGGAGGGCAGGGCTTGGCGGTGGCAACAGGCCCCACCCCGGCCGGCCTGAACCCTAGACCCTGCTCCCACCTGTGTCCGCACCTGTGTCCTCAGCCTCGTCCTCCCCGTCTTCATCATCTCCTGAAGATGGAACATCTACAAGGCAGAGACGGCCGCTTCCAGTGCCCGACCTGCCCCAGGAGGCCCCCAGGTGCCCCTCCCAGGTGGGACAGGGTCCCCCATCCAGGCAGCACTTCCTGGGGCGCCTTCCCCTCCACCAACGACCCTTGGGGCAGGGGTGCTGCAGCCACATGGCCGAGACACTCAGCGGCTCTCGGTCCCCGTGGGGACTCAGGGAACCCAGCGCCCACTCCCTCCTGCAGCTGGCTGGCCCCAAGCTCACCTGCCACCCGCACGCTGAAGCGACACAGCACGCGCTGCGTGAGGCGCTGCCGGCAGCTGTAGGCCCCGGAGTCCTCCTGTGAGGCGTTTAGCACCAGCAGCCGCTGGGGCCCCACCACGACGCGGTCTGAGGGCACCAGCCCTGCACCATCCTTGACCCAGACCGTGGGCCCCACAGGACCACCCCCGGGCGGGGGACAGCTCAGCTCCACCGTGTCCCCGCTGCCGAAGACCAACTGCTCCTGCTGGCCGGGCTCCAGGCCTGGGACCTCTGCGGGCGAGACCCGCGACCATGAGGCAGGCACCCCCAAACCCGGCACCTTTCCAGACACAGCAGTGGGGGCCTTGGCGGCCCTGACCCAGAGCTGAGGTCCCACCAGGCCAGGGCTGGAGCTGAGCCCCAAAAGGGCCAGAGGTCTCTTATCTTAAGCCTTGCCAGCCGGTCCCTGTGCCAAGGACTTGGGTCTGCCTCGGTGTGGCAGCCGCCATCCCCACACAAGCCGCAGCCAACCCGGGCCGCAGCGCCACAAAGCTTCACTTATGGACACGGAGAATTCAAATCTCAAAGCGCCACAGAGTGCGACTCTTCGTTCTTTTGATTTGTTCAGTTGCTTTGAAACATAAAATCCATGCGTGGCTCACAGGTGGCACCACGGCCACAGGTGCTGGGGACGAAGGGGACAGGCTGCCCTTTGGGGCCCCCGGCTGAGATGGAACTCAGAGGGTGTGCCAGGGTGGCCAGCCACCCCCCTGGCAGTGCAGATGCACCCCAGATGGGGTCCCTCTCAGCAGCCCCCACACCCTATATGTGCCTGAGGCACAGTTCAGATGGACAGCAAGGGAACAGAAGGGACGAGAAAGGAAGTGCAGGGTCAGACGGCCGTGTGGACGAAGCCGGGGAGCAGTGCGCAGGTTCACCAGGCAGAGCCAGGCTGGAGCAGTGCGAGGCAGCAGGGCAAGGGCGGGGGGCTCCCTGGCATGGGTAGGGTTCTGCATCCTGCAGCTCCTGGGTAAGCTCCACACAGTGGTCACCACAGAAAACACACAGAGAAGAGCAAAGTACAACACGATGCCGGGGCCAGCCCGGTGGGTCCACGGGCCGGGGGCTGGGAGTGGGACCCCCTCACAGAAGAGGACCAGGCTGGGGGCTGGAAGCTGTGAGAGCCACAGGCGGAAGTACTGGAGCTGGGGCCGCAGGGCGGGTCAACAGCCCCGGACCCTCCCCAGGGGCTGAGAAGCTGGGGCGGGGGCCCACCCACAGGGCAGATGTGCAGGTGGCCCTGGCCCCCTCCCCCTGCCCAGTAGCTCCCCAGTTCCCAAGGGCCACCAAAGCCTGTGACCCAAGGACACACCACAGGCAGGGCTGGGGGACCATCACCCCCAGGCCTCCTGCCAGGTCAGACAATGCCTGCAGGCGGGTGGCCTGGGCTTGGGGCCGGGGCGGGGGTGGGTGGTCCCCCAGGCAGCCTCCTCCTTCAGACCCAGCTGGGCCGCTTGCACCATCACTTGTCATTCTGCTGACGCCTGGCCTAGATTTGGGGGCCCAGCTGCCCGCGCTGGCCACACCAGTCCCTGGCTGCCTGGCCAGGCCCGATTCTGCCCGACCCACCGAAGCCGGCCGCACACCCCCAGTACCCAGCGTGACCCTGCCAACCGGAAGGGCCACACTCATCCCCGGAAGCATCCGAGGGAGCCCTCACCCCACAGGGACCCACAGGTCCTGGACTACCCCTGTGAGAACCCCACAGTCAGAGGGGCGCCTGGCCTGACCTCCAGCCCTCTGGCCCTGGCCAGTGTCTTGTGGGGACCACCCAGAGCTGGGAGCTGCCTGAGGCCCCCCAGAAGGCCGAGAACAGGCTGGTCGTGGCAGCCTCAGCTGCAGGCCCTGGCCCAAAGGCAACAGCCGGCTGGTTCCGGTTTGGTCTGGGTGGCGACAACAGGTCAAGCCATGTGCACAAGTATTCGCTTCAGCCTGGTCCAGCGGGGACGGGGGACACAGCAGCCCCAGGCCAGCCACGCGGTGGCTATCTGCCCGTGTTGGGGGGAGGGTGGAGCCCTGAATGCCCCCCGCCTGCCTGCTTGGTGCCAGCAGAGGCCATGGCGCCCCAGCAGGGGCTGGCTGGGAACACCAGGTGAAAGACTGTGAGACGGGCACAGGGGCGGGGGGCACTGAGAGCTCAGGGCCTCACTCCCCTGGGGGAGTCAGCAGTTGGGTGGAGCCCCCAAGCTCCATCCAGCTGCCAGGCATGGGGCAGCTACATCCCCCCAGCGGCCCCAAAAAGAGTTATTTCTTTCTTGACCAACAAAAGGGGGACCCCACTGGCACCACACAAGCACTGGTGCCCACACACGCCAGAGACAAAACTCCTGCATACCCAAGGCGGGGGAGGGGGCAACAACCGCACCACCCCCACATTGACGCATCACGACCCCACACAGTGCCCACCTCAACCTGGGCCCCACGTGCTAGGAACAGCCCTCTGCTGTGTCCCAAAAGGGCCATGCTGGACCTGGGGAGCATTTCCCAGTCACAGTCTCCCGACTCTGCAACTCACTGGTCCTGTGCCTCAGTTTCCACACTGTGGCACAATATAAAATCCTACCTCACAGGCCACAGGGGCCACCACACCCTACTAAGTGGCTGGAAGAGCAATGGGCACTCCCTGCCCTGGGTCCCTTGACCCGGAACTGATGTCCATCAGGCCAGGGCGCTGGTGACAGTCACACTCTGGCCTGGGGAACCTTTCTCCAGGTTCTGGGGCACTGCAGTGGAGGCCCAGCGCATGTGGGGAGCCCGGGTGAGAGGGTGGGGGAACGCTGCTCCATCATAAGCCCCTTGGATTGACCCCAGAGAGCAAGGACCAAATTCAGACTCAAGTCCAGAGCTGGCTACCCCGAGGGGTTTATTTGGGTTTTGGGATAAGTTGAGGGCCTGGGGTCAGGGAACCCCATGTTCTGGTTTTGGATGCACATGAAGCGCTCTGCAGCTCTCTGGGGTACAGGAAGTATTGCCAGGTAAGGGCTACAAAACAGCCTAAGAGGAGGAGGGGGTGCCTGGAAGGACCTGGAAGCCAAAAGCAAGAGACCAGTCCTGCTTCCTCTCCACCTGGAGACATTCCTCTTCAGTTTCACAATAAAGACAGGAAAATAGGGATCCGAAGCTGGGCAGGCTCATGAGAGCTCGCCAGAGTTCTCAGGCCTAATCCTTCAAGCAGCCTGCCACTATCGGTTCTCTTGGACAGGTGGGGAAATCGAAGTTTGAAGAGGGTACCCGAGCCTGGGCTGGCAGCCTGGAGGTCCAGGCCAACACCCCCATCCCACCAAAGCTGGCTCCACTCCACACTCATTCACTCCTGAATCACTCAGGTCAGGGCTGCTGCCTCTCTAGACAGGGCGACTTTGGACCCCCATCCTCCAGGAGACCCCAAGCTCCTGGGCTCCCACCCAAGCTCAGCTGTAACAAGGGATGCCCCAGCCCCAGTTCCAGCCCCAATGAGACCTGAGGGCTGGGGGTGGGTAACAAGGGGTTGCTACTCTCAAACAAGGACCCGGAGGCCAGGCTGTGCCCGGGTTAATGAACCACCCAGAGGCCCACGCGGCTCAAAGTCCAGCCCTGGGGAGGAGGGGTAGAGGAGGTGGCCACCAGCACCTTAGGGAAAGGCCCTGCACCCCCAGACCCCTCCTGGGTGGGGCACGGCTGTTAAGAGAGCAGACTCTTGTCTATCTCCCTGCACCCTGGGGAGGGGTCCCCCAGGTCCCAACCAGGAACACGGTCCCCTGGGGAGATGGAGGCTGCCCTGGCAGGGCATGCGGTGGCCCAGGCAGTCCAGCAGCCAAAACCTTCCCCACTGCCCTTGACTCCTGCCAGCTCAGGCTCCATAATTTATGTTCCTGGGCAAGCACCATCCTAGACCTCTGTACATTTCACGAGGTCTTTGTATTTTTACTGCCCGGCCCATCTTGTTAAGGAACCGGATTAAGTTTATTGACTGATCAACTCACTACCTGTTTCACCAGCTCCAGTGCAGGCGGGGGGCGGGGAGAGGGGAGGGCGCCTCTTGGGTGCGCAGGCCAGCCCAGCGGCTGCGGCGCTTCCCGTTCTGGGAGCCGGTGGGGGAGGTCCCACGCGCCCTCAGGAGTCCGGGAGAGGCTCCGCTTGCAGCCCGGCCGCCGCCCCTCCCCGGGGCTGGCTGACATTCCCCGACCGTGGGGAGTAATATCTTTATCTAAATGCGAATGCGAAAGCTAAGGCGAGAGCCAGACTCCCCCCGCGGCTGCCCCTCCAGCACCCCTGGAAGCGGGGCCGCCAGAGCAGGCGCTAAAAGCGCGCGCTGACCTCCCGACGGCCCCTGTCACGCCGCTGAATGACACGCACATTCAGGCGCCGGGCCACTTTCATTCATAAAAAAATGACATTGTTCCGGGAGGCCGCAGCCGCTGCCGGAGAAAGGGGCGCGGGGGCGCGGGCGGGGCGGCCGCCATCTGCCTCGGCCCGCCGGGCGCCCTCCCCGGCCCGCCGCGACCGCAGCGGCTCACACCTCCCCGCGAGCCGCCGCGCCGCCATCAATGCGCGGTCTGTGGCCGCGCCGAGGCACAAAGGAGCGGCTGTTCCGGCCCGGGCCGGGGCCCGGGTGGGGCGCGACTCACCGGGCCAAGGCCTCCCTCCGCGCGGCCGCAGGGCTCGGCCGTGCGCCCCCCTCGCCCGCCTCGAGCCGGCAGCGGGTGGACGGGGCGGCGGCGCTGGAGCGCTCGGACTGGCCCTCAAGGAACCGTGGCGCGTGTGCAGGGCGGCCCGGGCACCCCTTTCCCGCCCCTCGCCCGGGGGGCCTCCCTTCGGACCCTCGATGTCCCGCGGGACCCGGACCGCCAGCCTGGGTCTAAGGCCCCGCGACGCTGGGACACGCGCCCTTTGCCGGCCAGGAGCTCCCGCGCACCTACGGGGAAGCGCCCTCGGCCCCCGGGCACGATGCAGGGTCCGCAGCGGCGGCGCTGGAGGCTGTAGCCCGGTCGGGCGGGCCACTGGGTACAGGGGCCAGGCTTCCCCGACGCGCGCACACCCACCCACTGAAGTCCGGCCTCTCGCTTTGGCCGAAGCTGGCCGCAAACTGGGGCCCGGGGGAGGGGAACGCCAACAATGGGGACTTTCCGTCTGCGCAGACCCCGAAGAACAGCGAGAATCGTGGAAACCGGCCCCCCCCCCGCGTCCTCCCGAAGGGTCAGGGCTGGGGAGCCGCAGGGGACCGGGGCTGCGGACGGACGCCGACTCCCGTCCTGGCTTCCCGCGGCAGCCTCGCACCTGAGAGGTGACGGTGACTCCAGGAGCCCCACGAGTGCCCTCCTGGAAGGGGGCCACGGAATCCGGGCGCTGATCCCGGGGCTTCACTTCCACCCCGCGCCCCGTTCGACCCGGGCCCGGTTCCCGTCCCCAACGCCACTGCCCGCACAGGCCGGCCCCTCCCGGGCCTAGAGGGTCTCTTCTTACCTGCCGCTCGCCCCACGACGCGCTGCTCCGGGCCCAAGGACTCCGAGGAGGCGCCAGCCACGATGGCCACGGCCACGCAGAGCGCGAGGGCGCGGACAGGGGCGCCCATGGCGGGGGCGGGGACCGCGGCGTCCTCAGGCGGTGCTCGCGGGCATGCTGCCCCCCACGGCCCCGCGCGGGCACCGGTGAGAGGCGGGAGGCGGGAGCCGCTCGAGAGGCTGCGGGAGGAGGAGGGCAGCGCGTCAGCGGGGCGGGCAGGGCCGCGCAGGGACGAAGCGGCGGTGACCGACTCCGGCGCCCCGACCCTCCGACCCCCGGCCGCCCCGCCCGCCGCCGCCGCCGCCGCCCGGGGCTCCCGGGCCGCCTGGCGCCGGCCGCCTCCTCCCCGCCGCAGTCCCTCCCTCCTCCCCCTTCCCTCCCTGGCTGCTGCATAGCTCTCCCAGGGCGGCGGCGGCGGCGGCGGCGGCAAACTTTCCAGAGCGGGAAGCCGGCGCCCCGGCCCGACCCGCGGCAGGGACTGCTGTGGCTCTGCGACCGCCGCGCCCCGGCCCCTCCTCGTGCCCCGCCGGACCCCTTCGCGCGCCTGCCCGGCCCCAGCACGGACCTGGCGGGCGCCCGCGCCCGGCTCACTACGCTCGGCTCCCGCTCCGGCTCGGGGTCAGCGGGCCCAGCTCCCGCCCGGGCCCTCCGGCCGTCGGCCCGCCGGGGCGTCCGTGAGACCCACAGAGCAGGACCGCGCGGCGCCAGCTGCCCGCGAGGCCGCCACCGCCGCCACCACCGCGTACTGAGCTTGGGTTGCCCCGCGCGCCGCAGCCAGTGGGGAACAGTCCGCGCCGCGGCCCCGCCCCGACCAGGCTCCACCCACCCCGCCCCGCCCCGGCCAGGCTCCGCCCCGCCCCGGCCAGGCTCCGCCCCGCCCCGGCCAGGCTCCGCCCCGCCCCGGCCAGGCTCCGCCCCCTTCCCCGCCCTGCTGGGGAGCCAGACACGCCCCTCGGGGCGGGGTGTGAGGCGGGGCATCCGAGGGGCGTGGCCGGCGGGGGCGCCGGGCCGTCTCGAGGGCGAGGGAGCCGGGGCTGGCGGGCGAGGCCCGGTCGCACCGCTGGGCGGCTCAGGGGGCGGCGGGCACGGGGCGCAAGGAGCGCGAGCGCAGCCTCTGTTTGCACAGCGCGCGGCTCGGGTCCCCTGGGGCTGTGCTTAGGCGCTCAGAGGGGAGGTCTCGGTGGCGGTCGGGATGTCAGGAGGCTGAACCCTGCGGCCTGAGCTGGAATTCCTCCGGTGGAGGAGGCAGGACCGCATTCCAAGCCCAGCCTCCGGTGTTCGCCGCAGGCCCGGGACATCCCGGGCGGCCCTGCCTACCTGACGAGGTGCAGACGCTGCGTTGACTGACCTGGGCCTCCAGCAGCTGAGCCGCCTGAGTTCCCCGCCCGAGGGGCCCCTTTTCCCACCCCCCAGGAGGACACAGGCCTAGGGCTGCCCTCCTACCCGGCCTAGAATGCAGAGCAGGGGCCGGGGACCCGTGAAGGTGCTGCCCTGTGGGGCACGCTGGGGTTGTCTGGGCCCCCTCATCCCACATGACTGTTGTGTCCACCCTCACAAGGAAAAGGCCGTCTGCTCCCACCTCCAGGCAAGCCCAAGGAGGTTCAGGGCCCATGGGAGCCAGTGAGCGTAAGGAAGGGCCAGCTCTGTCTGCTGCCCTGCCTGGCTTGTCATCCAGGACTCACTGTGCTTGTGAGGAAAAAGGGCACTGAAAGCCCCCCAGTGAGTGGCTGCTTGCTTACCCTACCCAGCCCATGCACAGCCCCACCCTGCAGCTTCCAGAGGCCAAGGTGTCCCCGGACCCTACCTTGGGGCCTTAGAAGGGCCTGCTTCCAGGGAGCCCTCATGCCCACCCCTCTGTGCCCATTTGTGGCACACCTGTCCTCAGCCAGCCTTGATTCCTGCTCTGGCCAAGCCCATGTCCCCCAGATCGTCTTGGGGCCCAGGCTCCCCAAACTCCAATGCACTGTCCAGCCCTTCAGGTGCCCAGCGCCAGGCTGCTGCCAGCCAGGCCCCCTCCCCAGGACACCATTACCTGAGCACAGCAGCACATTTGTCCTGCTAGCTCTTTCTCTCTTTTGGAGACAGAGTCTTGCTCTGTCACCCAGACTGGAGTGCAGTGGGGCAGTCTTGGCTCACACAACTTCCATCTCCCTAGTTGAAGCGGTTCTCCTGCCTTAGCCTTCCAAGTAGCTGGTATTACAGGTGCGCCTCACCATGCTTAGCTAATTTTTGTATGTTAGTAGAGATGGGGTTTCGCCATGTTGGCCAGGCTGGTCTTGAACTCCTGACCTCAAGTAACCCGCCCACCTTGGCCTCCCCAGGTTCTGGGATTGCAGGTGTGAGCCACGGCACCTGGCCTTAGCACTCTTAACCAGCTAAGTCATCAGGTTCTCAAAGTACCAGGATGCATGTGGGCCCAGACCGTCTTGCCCCTTCTCCTGGGGACTGGATGGGATTGTGGGAAGGAGCTGGTGGATGGGGCAGGTCCCCCTCAGGTGCCAGCTGCTGAACAGCGTTCCTCCTGTGGACAGAAGGCCTCAGTGGAGCTCTAGGCTCTTTTCCCGGTACCTCCAGGAAGGACTGACTCTCTCTGCAACCACGGCCGCTGATTTCCGGGAGGGGAGCATCTGGGCATCTGTGGGCACAGAATTTTCTTCTTTCTTCCTCGCCACGATCCTCTCCTTGGCCAAGATGCCCAGTTGGGGGCTGTTCCCATGTGTCCCGACCCCAGTCCTTCTGTCTCTGAAAGCCTGACTCTGCAGACCACACCTCTCAGGGGCCCTTGCTCTCCAGCTTCTGGGTGGGTTTGGCCCGTGGGCAGCACTGGCAGGAGGAAGGACTGGGGACGGGGCACTTTCAAGACATGCTTCCTCCCTTCAGCCCTGCAGCCCTGGCCCCAGCCCAGCCTCCTCTCCCTCCAGTAGCAGCCTGGGACTCCTTCATTCAGTAGCACCCGGTACCTCCAGGCTGCTCTCACAAATCACTGCACACTGGTTGACTTAAATTTACTTTTTCTCAGTCTGGAAGACCAGATGTCTGGAATCAAGGTGTAGGCAGGGCTGCACTCCCTCCCAAGGCTCTCGGGAGGCTCCTTCCTGCCATTTCCAGCTCCTGGGGGCTCCTGGTGTCCCTGGGCTCGTGGCCGCATGGCTCCGGCCTCTGCTTCCCGCTCTGCCATCTTCTCTTTCATCTCTTGTAAGGATATGTGTCGTCAGGCATAAGGCCCACTTGGATAACCCAGATGATCTCCCCATCTCAAGATCCTTACCTTGATTACACCTGCAGAGACCCTTTCTCCAGATACGGTCACATTCACTGGTTGCAGGGGGAAGGATGTGACCATGTGCTTTAGGGGTCGCCGTTCTGCCCACTACGCCCTGCGTGGCCGATGCCTCCTCTGGCACCCTCACATTCTGAGTGGCTCCTCCAGTGGCACTGTCTGGTAGCAGTTAGGTCAAAGGACAGGAGCACCTCTGGGGCTCTGCTCATTTTGCCAAATTGCTTCCAAAGGGTCCTAGAGCCGCCCGTGGCCACCAGCAAGGAGCTGCTGCCCACTCTGCCCCAGGGCCGCCAGGGCCAGGGGAGGCCTTGCCCGAAAGCCCGGTTTATTATTGTCACAAATAATTGTGGTGTTCAGATGGAGGGTTTCTAAGCCCACAAGTGCAGGGGGCATTCCTCCGACACTCGGGTGAGGCCAGGCCTGCTGCTCTGCTCCTGAGTTTCGGCGACTGCCTGCACGTTAGTGTCCCTAGCCACGATTTTATCACAGCACCCTTGTCCAAACATTCATTTCCACAGACAGACACTTTGCAATATTACCCGGCTTCATCCTCCTGGTACCTGATTAGGTGGGCCCTTCTGGGGCCCTTGGGGCCACAGGGCCAGGCGAGGACTGGGAGAGCCTGCTGAGGGTCTGCATCCACCTCCAAGCAGGTGTTAGGCGGACAGGAACGTCCCATCTGCTGGACTCATGTTGACACTTACCTCCCACTCCCGCTGCACCCCCACCCAGCTCCTGAGGCCCACACCCAGGGGTCTTCCTGAAGGTGAATGTGGGAAGCAGGGGCCGAGGCAAGCGCCGTGTGGGGCTGACAGCCCGGCCCAGCCCAGGCCTGGTGGTGACTCAGAGCTGGGCGGCCTGGCTTGCTGGGGCCTGTGTAGGTGAGCAGCAGAGGGTGCCTGGGAGGGAGGCCCATCCTGGGTGCGGGGCCTGGGCAGGCTGCCCATGGCCCAGCTCACACCTGCCTCTCCTGTGCCTCCCCTGAAAATGCCAGGAAAATGGCAAAGGGGCTTTCGGCAGAGGCGGTGCTCCGGGCACAGACTCCACACCACCTGCTGGGCACAGTGCTGGGGGGGGTGGGGGGGCAGGCAGCTGCCGCAGTTCCCCGACAGGGAGGCAGGCAGGCAGGGAGGCCGAGGCGGAGAGACCTGGAACCCAGGGCAGGGAAGCCCCAGAGACAGACTTCTGCCCAGCTCTCTTCTGCGATCAGAGCCTGGCCTAGGGCTGGGGCTGCTGGGGGAGCTTCCCTTGGTTCTGCCCTGCGGCCAAGCGGAAGGACAGGGCATGGAGTCTCAAGGGGATATCGAGTCTCTTCTGCCGTTGGGATCCCCTGGGAGCCACTCGATCTCCCCTGGGAGCTCCCCATCTCCTACCACCTTTCCCAGAACCACCACTGCCCTTGAACACTGGCAGGGCACAGGGCTGGGTGCCAGGGTTCAGAACTGGCCACCATGGGGTGACGGAAGTGGGGCCCTTGGGTATCCCTGCTGAGCTGGGCTGGGCTGGGAGTGGGGCCACAGCTGCTGTAGTTTAAGGGTAGTTGCTGGCTTCTATTTTGTTTTTGAGACAGGGTCTTGCTATCTCAGCTCGTGTTTACACTTAGCTCTTAGGCTGGTCTTAAACTCCTGGGCTCAAGCACTCTTCCCCCCTCAGCCTCCCAAGTACAGGCGTATGGCACCATGCCTGACTTTGCTTTTCAAATTTATTCTCAGAGAATTTGAAGAGTGTTAAAATAACAACAACAACAAAATGTTGAGATCCTCATTATAACAGAAATGGAATTTTAAAGAACATTAAAGAAGAAAAAATATTCCAAAATCCCTCAGCCAACACTAGCTACTGTGCAAGATCCTTAATTTTAGCTCTGAGCTTCCTGGCAGGCTGAGGAAAAAGGGTAACACCATGAATCATGAGCTGCTGGGAGCCTGCCATCTTGGATATGCTGGGACAGTCCCAGTTCAAACACTTTGGCCTTTTTGCCATTTGGTTCACTCAGACCACTAGACCTCAAGTTCTGACTTTGGTTTGGAAAATGTGGCTGCTCCCAGATGAGCAAAGAAAGGAAACCAGAGCTGTCTGCAGACACAGGAGAGGTGTCGAGTTGAGGGGTGGACGCTCAGGCTCCCACAGGCTCCTGCCTAGCCTGGGGGTGTGGGGCCCCAGTTCCCTGCCTGTAGTCTGCACAGGAGGGCTCCCCAAACCGTGCAGAAGCAGCAGGAGATGGTGGTGAAGTCCCTCATGGGGGCAGGTGGGGCAGGCAGCAGAGAGCTGGCCAGGGAGGGGTTAAGGCTGGGAAGCTCCCCGGATGGCGGGGGCCAGGCCGGTAGCCGCTGAGCAGCTCCGAATCTATTTTCCTAAGCAGTTGGCATTTGCCTGAAACCTCAAGTGTATTTTCCCTGAGTTTTATTTTTTCTTTGACCCCAAACCCTGGTA